GAAGCTGCTGTCGCCGAGCTCGGCCACCCGAACGCCGCGCCCGCGAGCGCGCCGAGAAGACGCTGCCCGCGAGCGCGAACGCCGCGAGGCTGCTGCCCACGAGCCTGAAAACATCGCGCACCCAAGCGCCATCTTGCAATAAGGAAAATAAGGAGTATGACATCCCTAGACATATACACCACGACGGCCGTAGGGTTTCAATGCGCACTCAAACCTGCCACTGCGAAACTGTCCGGCTCATGGACAACGAAACGCCAGGATTGAAAATAAACGCATTCTCCAACGCGACGGCGGCCCACGAGCGCGATCACCAAAGTTGCCTGACTAGGAGCGCGAACGCCGCGAAGCTGAGGCTGAACGCCGCGAAGATACCGACGCTGCGGCCAACGAGCGCGAATGCCACGAAATTGCCGCCCGCGACCTTTAACGCCGCGCAGTGGTCGCCCGCGAGTGCCAGACACCGCGAAGCCTGAGCGCGAATGCCGCGAAGCTGCCGCCGCCAAGCTTGAACCCAGACGCCGCTGCCCACGAGCGCGAACACAAAGTCGCCTATTAAGCGAGTGCAAACGCCGCGAAGCTGAACGCCGCCAAAGCTGCCACCGCTGAGCTTGAATCCTGATTCTGTTGCCCACGAACGGAAAGGCCACGGAGTTGCCGCCCTCCAGCGCGATGAATGCTCCAGAGCAATTTTCACCCGAGGTTGCGGATCTACGTTCCCGATTTACCACGAGCGTGGGCGCCCCGATGCTAGCGCTTCTTTGGACATCTCCCTCTCGCGCTCGACCCTGAGCCTGATGCCCGAGACTTTGAAAGAGCAACGAGAACCCCAGAGACCTTCTCAAACCAGAACGCCACCGCGGATGCAGGGTTTTCACGCGCGTTCGAACCTGCGCCCGCAATAATGACCAGCTCGAGGAAGACTAGAGACCCGCGCAATTAGAAGCAGCACCGAACGCGGTGGCACGGCTGGTCGCACCCATCAGAAGAAGCCAGAAATCGGCAATGCCACTTAGAATGCCACGCAGGTTCCCACTGCAGCGAGAAACGACGTAGTCAACAGGATACAGACGAACAACTAGACCGCGCAGTCAGACTTGGCCGCCTCATGCGCACCAGCGAACGCCCAATAAACAAGCGCGGATGAATTGGATCTTGACGCGCCGTCGCTCAAGAGGGCCGGCTCGATGTCCAGGAGTAGCATGTCTTGCGGGCGGCGGATCAACGAACATTGAAAGAAACACGTCCCCGCCCAACTCTCCGGAAATGCCATCGATCTAACAGCGCGATGGAGTCGCGCTACATCAAAGGCGATGACGCTGGGCTCTGACAGGGGGGCCGACCACGTTGGCGCGCAGCACCAGCCTGGACCTCGCAGCGCACTGCGGCGAGCGTTGCTGCGCCCTGCCGGGCATCGCAGCACCTGCGAATGGGGCAGGAGCGACCTGTCCCGAGATGTGCGGGCCCCACGAGGATGGAGCACGACTTCTGACCGATCTCGACTGGAACGCCCCCAGGCATGGACGCCTTTCCTTCTGAAGTGCTGGCGCGCGAGTGCGTGCGTGCATATGTGTTTGGCGCCGATCACATCGTAATTCTCGCTCTCCCCGTATCTTCTGATACCGTCCTCGCTGCTCTCCCACGCACGCCCCTGTTCCTCGTGTGCTTCGTCTCCCTGTAGCTGCCGACGCGGATCGCACTGACAGTGAGTGGCAAAGTGCTCAGCACAGCTCACAGTCAAGCTCCCACTACAATCCACGCGCAACCAACGGCACAGCTTCCGCCTTAATTCCAAATGCAGCTCCGACCCAAAGCTATCGACATAGATCCTTCTGCTGCGTTATTGCAGCCCCCCACATCTCCCGCTACAATTCCCAAAACAAATCACACGGCAATCGACAACGCAGTTCTCACTGCAACTCCTACGGCAGTCCATTCTACAGTTCAATGCAGCTCTCGAGTACGTCTCACAATGCAGCTCCTACTTTAACCCGCATTACAACTAGTAGCACAGCTTTCGCAGCTCTCGCGAAAGTTCCCGCCAGAACTATCGATGCTGGTCCCGGTGCACCTGCTACCGAGGCTCTATTACATCCCCGACCGCAGCTCCCATGTCAAGGCTTGCTGCAACCAGTGCCACAGCTGTCACTGCAACTCCTACGTGAGAACTCTTCTGCTCCTCTTGCTGCAGCCCCGACCCCATCTTCTATTACTGCCAACTGTACCGCTCCTACTCAAATCCGCACGCAACTCCCTAATAAAGTCAGTAGCACAGGTCCCACTACAGCTCCCCCTACAAATCCCACAACAGCTTGCTCTACACTTTCCGTCACAGTCCATACTGCAAATACAAGTCCAAGAACAAGCGCAGCTTACGATGCAATTCGCACCACAGCTCCTACGACAATTAAAATACTGCACCTGGTAGTGTATCCCCGAAAGCAACCCGCATTACAGTTAGACTAAAGTTTAGCCCGCCTACCTCGTAGAACAGCTCCCACTAGACCTCCTACTACCGAAATCACGACAAATATTACTACGGCTCCTACTACACTGCCTTTGCACAGCCAATCGTCCAGCCCCCGTTGTAGCTCATACTAGAGCACGTGCTACGGTTCCCGTTGCAGCTCTTGCAGCGACCTCCCTAGCTCAGGTCCTAAAAGAAACCGATTGCATTTCTGTTTATAGCCATGCGGCCCCCAACACAGCTCTCACTAGACTTCTTGCAGCAGCTATTGCGACAGCTCCTATTACGAATCGTTTTATTGATGGTCGTTTATACAGCTCGACTTAGGGTTCCTGTTACAATTCTTGTTCCAGCCAGTCTTACAACTGCCGCAGCTTTCGCCATAGCACACACCAATGTCAGTATGACAGTTCCTGACGTGCTTGTTCACAACATTACTGCAACTGCCGCGACAAGTGCCAATGCAGTTCCTGCTGCAGCCAGGAAATCAGCTGCTATTACAACTCCTACGGCAAACCTTGCAAAAGCTCCCTCTTCAGTTTTCACTGCGGCGCCTGCATCTTCTACCGCACCTCCTAGAAGAGCTCCCACTGCAGCCGCCAACGCTCTCTTCACCACAATTCCTGCTCCAACTTGGACCACATCTAATGCTTCAGATCCGATTGCATATCCCAGCGCAGCTCCAGTCGCAATCCCCAGAAACCGTATCTGTCCAACGGAAGCTTCTTGCACCGACCTTTCGAAACCACTGACTAAACATGAATCGCATCCGATGGTACGGGTCCCAAGACAAGTCTCAATGCATCTCCCACTGCAGCTCCACATGAAGTTCCTAGTGAAGCCAACAGAACAGCTCCCATTCGAATTCCAATTATAACGTATATGGATTAGATGAATGCAGTTCGTACTGCAGTTTATCGACACAACCGCCAGTAGAGCTCCCGTTGCAATTTCTGGCAGCAAACCCTAAATTCCCACAGCAGCTCTTGCTGTTGCTGCCTTCCACTAACAAATCTTACACAAATCACAGAACAGCTCCTTCTACATCCGGTAACAGCCGCTCCCCCCCACAACCACTAATGCAACTCTTATTCCAATCCCTACAACACCTCGTTTCTTACCGCTCTTATTACAGCTCAAACTGCACTGCAGCTCTAAGTACAACTTGTGCTACAGTTGTTTACACATTTCCTATCGCATGTCCTGGTTCCACCAACATTGCAATCTACACAATAAACAATCGCGCGACTGTCAGTGCTGTTTCTACGGGAACGCATACTACACTTCATATTGATACTACTAGTACTGACCGTTATGCAGTTGCAAATGATATACACTGTAGTTCCAAATGCTTTTCTTTTTGCAGCCAGTCGTCCAGCTTTCACGGCAGCTCCTACTGAATGTCTACTGCATATACGTTCACAAATATTATTGCACCTCCAAGTGCAGCTCCTTCACACGGCCACCAATACAGCTCCCATCACAACTCTGGCTACAGCTCCGACTACAACCTCTTGCGCGAATCCTATTACATTACTAATTCAGCTCTCATTGCGGTCTACACAACAACTCGGAACAGATTGAAGTGCTGTTCCTACGAAGGCGCACACTCAACTTCCGATTGCACCTAGTAGTGCCGACCCCAATGCAGCTGCCAACGCGTCTCCCACCGCAGCTCATGTGTCTATTCTTGCCGCCACTGCAACTCCTACTTCATGCCTACTGCATACATACTTTTGGACTGCTCTTTCTACGGGTCCCTGGCGCAACCAGTCAAGACAGCTCCCACTGCAGATCCTGTGCCAATATGTAGCACAGCTCTCATTCCAACTCTTGCTACTTGTTCCGACTGCATCTCCTGTGCCAGGTCGTACAGCAGTTCTGACTGCGAGCACTACTACGGCCCCCAGCTTTGACTACCTCTAGCACTACCGTTTCTAATGCAGCTCCTACGACACTTCTCGGGGCGCGGAGGTTGATGAGGATCGCTAGGAGGATGACGGAGAACAGGATACGGATGAGGGAAAGGAGGGGGACGAACCGGGAGGAAGATGAAGAAACGAGGAGAAGGAGAAGGAGGAGGAGAAAGACACAGAGCATACACAAGCGGGAACAGAAAGTAATTTGAAGGGGGCGTGGGGGGCGGGCGAGCTATGTGTATATACACGTCTACAGATACGTGTGTACATGTACACAAGCATAAATATATACATACATATGTAAACATATACAGAGGTCTAAATGTATGGTGTGTGTGTTGTGTGTTGTATGTTGAGTTGTGCGTGTGGTGTGTGTCGTGTGTTGTGTTTTGTGGTGTGGTGCGTGTGTGTTTGTGTTTGTGTGTTGTGCTGTGTGTGCGTAGCGTGTTGTGTGTTGTGCGTTGTGTGTTGCGTTGTGCATTGTGTGTTTGTGCCTATGTGTGCGTGTGTGCGTGTGTGCGTGTGTGCGTGTGCATGTGTGTACGTGTGTGTGCGCGCAGCAAACGAGGTATCGATACCACGGGCTACTACATGGTCTGCTCCCCCTGCTGCCTTCTAGCAGCAGTCGCGTCAATGTCTGAGTAACCAAGACTTGCGTTAGCATGCGGCGGCACATGCACATTACATTAACTTGCCATCGCTCGGACGTCTGTTTCCCGTAAATTGCTCGGTGTCATGCGTCATTTTGCTCGCAAAATGATCCAAGATGCTTCCAAATGGTTCTGATTTTCTGGCATTGGCCTCGCAAAGCAAAAATGCACACGCATGGGCGATGCCAAGTTCAGGCGCATGCAGCCTGATGGGCCAACCAAATTTCTGAGGAAGCAGCGCCAGACCGAGCCGGCAAGACGTGGGGGAGGGAAGCTGGGGAGTCCTGGCAGGAGGAGGCACCCCTGGAGGGGAAGGACAACGTTGTTTTCGCGGCGTCGGAAACACCCCAAAGATGCCTCGGCATGGCTCAGCGGGCGAAAAATGGTAAATAGTGCACTGCTCCAGCATCGGGGACCCCGTCCCGAGGCGGCTGGAAAGTTAATGCTCTTCTGGTGGCACGTCGGGGCATATAAGCTTCACAGCCGCCCTAGGACAGGCGTCCCCGACATCGGAGAAGCGCATTTTTCGGAGGACGCCAACTATGCACCTACACTCACAGAGCGCGTTCCACTACTCGCAGTGCCTGCTCGCAAACGCCCGAAACAAATGCCTTCCTTTATGAAAGGTATGGTCCATCCCCCGCGGCGGATCCTGGCCATTTGCGAGTAGTTACTCTGCGAGTAGTGGAACGCGCTTGTCCATACACCAGATCCTGGCCAGACTCATGCTGGGCCCAAGATCGGTGTATACGCCCTCCTGGCTTGGGCAGGACGGCACACGCACACACACTTTAAGTCGGCAGCGCAGAGGAGTCTCAGGCGCGGTCGGCAGGTGGAGGTCCCAATTGCGAACGCACACACACACACACACTTTGGCGTCGGCGGCTAGGCAGGGTCACTGCGCTGGCGATGAGACTGTGGTTCATGTACGAACGCGAATTCCGCCACCATGCAGGAGGAGGGAGGAGGCGCCCGGCGGCGGCGGGAGGGAGGGAGGAAGCCGGGCGAACGCACATACACACACACACCGATCCTGGGCCCAGGATCGGCCTGGCCAGGCTCGGTGCCCTCCGAACCGCGGGTTCGTGTGGTGTCGACCCGGCGTTGGTTCCCGACACCGCGGGGATCGTTCAACTCTGAATCAGCTGTTCAAAAACGTCGGCTCGGGTCGCCGGCAACGTTCAACGTTGATTGCCGGCGGCGGGCTCGCCGCTGGTCGACACGACGCGAACCTGCCGTACCGTGCTTCGCCCGCTGGATGGCCTCGGCCAGGTCTCCCATGGTCATGTCCCTGCCGGCCTTGCGCCTCAGCCAGCGCGCCCGCTCCGCGCGCAGGCGCCTGCTCGCCCGCAGCGACCGCAGCCGTGCGCTGCGCCTCTCGCGCAGGAGCAGCGCCGCCCGGGACGCGAGCGCCCGCTGCACGGAGGCCGCGGCCCTGTGTACCCTCTCGAGCAGCTGCTGGCAGAGGGAATCAACACGGTGACCATGATACGAGAACGGCGCCCATGCACTGTACCATGTCTGGACTGCCTCCGGGCCTCGCTGCAACGCCGAACGGATGCCTGGGTCGAGGATGTACGACGCTCCGAGAGACGCCAACGCGGTACGGTGCACATGAGTCGTCCACGGACATGACAGAGAAGTCGCGGAATCTTGTCGACGCCGGTCTTGGTCATGATCCATGCTGACCGTCGCCGATTCGCGAGGATGATCCACGGATTGACCACGAAAAAACTGGACGGCGACCAAGATCGACACCGACGTTTCCGCGCTCAGTCTGGGTCGTTCTCGCGTTCCTTCCCTCCAGCTGGTTCGTGCCCCAGTCGCGGCCCTTGAGGCCGCGCAGGTTGCCCCACAGCGGCTCGAAGACCGCTCCGACGCTGTCGACAAAGGCCTCGGCGTCCCTGCAGGTCCGCATCCGGCCGCGGAGGAACCTGGAGCTGCGTATCATGTCCACCCAAGCGTTGCGAAAATGCCCCCAACTCTGCGACCGTGCAATCAGCAGCCGGCTGCGCAGCGACAGGGCCTCAGGAAGCGGGAGCACCGGCGAGTTGATTGTCACCTGACGCTTGTGCCCGAAGATCCCGAGTCGGACGTGGACCTTCAGCCCGATGTCCTTCGTGCTTGTGCCAGCGGAGGCCAGCACAGTGCGAAACGCACGGTGGATCCGCTCCCCACTCTCCGGGTCCGCGGCCAACTCCCCCCTGCCCTCCTGGGCCATCTGCCGGATCTCCACGAGCAGGATGTGATGCTCCACGGCGTCCTCCAGGCGGCCCTGGAACCTCGTGTAGAAGCAGAGATGGGCGAACATCACCCTGGCGCGGTACATCCAGGCCCCGCCTCTGGCGAGCTTCTCTATCCCCTGCGTGTCCGATCGCCTTATGGGCCTGCCCGGTGCGGCCCCTGGCGCGGCTGCTGGCGCGCCGCCAGGCGCCCGCTCGCCGCTGTGCCGCCCCGTCAACTCGCCAGGCGCAGGCGCCTCCGACGGCGAGCGCCAGTCGCCGATGGCCTTACCTGTTGCGCACGCCAGGGAGCCATCGCTCTCGGACTCCGACGCCGAGTCCAGCTCGGCGCGCCCAGGCGCGATCTCGGAGCTATGTGCTCCTCTGCTGCGCTGAGCCTCCATGAAGGAGAGCAGACTCCTCTTCACCTCGGCCTGCAGCGCCTCGATCGCCGCCTGCCGATGCTCCCCTGGCACCAGGCGGATCGCGGTCCGCAGCCGCTGCAGCGCAGCGCGCAGACGCCGCGCACAGCCCTGCGAAGCAGCGAAGGTCTCGTCCCCGCCGTCGTCCATGCCGCAGCGCTGCGCGCCCACGCCCGCGCCCTCTGCCGGCGGCCGCGCTGCCTGGCCTGCGCCAGCCCCGCGGTGGCGCCTCCTGCCCGGTGCGGCGACGGCCTCCTCGGCGCCCTCGGCTTGCCGCTTCCTCTTGCGGTCGTACCTGGCGCGCCTGGCCTCGTCCGACAGCGTCTCGAAGGCGCACACCAATAGCAAAAACCTCTCCGGGCAGCCGCCCTTGTCCGGGTGGCAGAGGAACGGCGGCGCGCCCAAAGGGGGGAAGGCACAGGGAATGGGCTTTCTCAGAAGACTCAGAAGGCCTCCGGCCTTCTGAGAAGCTTTCTAATGCCTTCTACGCCTTCTCCGAAACCATTGCTTCTCAAAAGGCCGGGGAGCTTCTGAGCCCCGCCGCCTTCTGAGAAGGCCTGCCCCGTCTTACTTCCCCCCTCGGCGCGCCGCCGAGAGGAGCGCCCGGTGCCTGTACGCCGAGCGTACCTCCGCCGCGGTGGCCCTCGGCGTCACCTGCAGCAGCCCGTACAGGTCTGGGAGCGCGGCCACCGCCATCAACGCGCGGGTGCCGCGCGCGCGCAGGCCAGCCGCCGCCGCTGCGACCGCGGCGCCACGCTCGCCGCCCGCTGCCGTGCCGGCTGCCCGACATTCAGGCGCCCAGCGCCTCGCTGGCCATCAACCCGTCACAACAGGCGCAGGTCGCGGCCGCGCCTCGGCGAGGAAACAAAAAGCGGAGCCTGAGCCAAAATGGCTACGGAAGGAAAGGAAAAGTGGCAGCCGCCTTCCTTCAGCTTCGCCTTCTCCTCCCCCTCTCCTAGTAGCCGCAAAGCTGTGGACAGTCTCGACAGAAGTCCGAAGCCCTGTCCTGCTCCTGCTGCTCCTCCTCCTCCGCCTCAACCTCCTCCTCCTCCTCCTCCTCCTCCTTTTCCTCCTCCTCCTCCTCCTCCTCCTCCTCCTCCGCCTCCTCCGTCGCTGACCAAGGACACGAGAGCAGAGCCAACTGAACCTCCACCTACAACCACTGCCCTTCCAAAGTTCCCTAGAAGAAAATGTGATGGAGGCGGAAGAGGAAGAAGAGGACGAAGAGGGGGAGGAAGCGGAGGAGGAGGAGGAGGAGGAGGAGGAGGAGGAGGAGGAGGAGGAGGGGAAGCCGCTCCAACAGCCGCACCCCGCACAAGCCCTACCTCACCAGGCGGTCCTTTGCTCTTCTGCGAGTTCGCCGCTCGGTACTCAAGACGACGCCGATCGCCAAGAAAAACGGGATTGCCAGCCACTTCGGTGACAAGAAGCTACGCTACACGGCAAATATCATCACGACGGAAGCCCTCCTGCCCGACCCCTCAGATGCGAGTGCCCTGGCCGATCTCAGCTACTACGTCAAACTTGTGGTGGCCTCTATCATACTCAGCACTCCCAGCCTAGCTTCCCACGTCGTGGAACCCGACGATGCCAACACCGCGCGCAGCGCCCAGCACTACTTTGACGCCCTTCTCCTGTTCCTCAGGACGTCTAAGTCGACCCTACAGAAGTGTATCACGACAGGCCGCGACGACTTCCTTGAGAGAACCGCCGACGAGATGGGTGCAGCGATCGACGACCACGCCCCCCGCTTAGAGGCCCTGTACGCCAAGCGACTACTGGCCTTCGGAGGAAGAAAGTCAAAGAAGCCGCCGACGCCCGTCATCCGCACCAACGACGACGGGGAGCCCCTCACCGAGAAGAGCGAAATCGCCGACCACGTCCTAGCCTTCTACGGCAAAGTCGAGCAAGCTATTGCTACGGATGCAGACGGGGTAGCAGCCGACTACAACAAGAGGACTCGCCACGCAGGACCAGGACCAAAGATCCAAAACATAATACCCAAGCACCAGCTGACCAGCCAGCTCGCCGCCGCCAAGCGAGGCCGCCGAGGAGGCCCTGACCAGCTCACCGACGACATGTCCAGAGCCAGCCCTGAAGGGATGGCTCGCCTGCTCCACCCGGTCCTAGTCAAGACCCACTTCGAGAGCACCGAGCCCATCGCCGCCAAGGGAGGTTACTCTGCCTATTTCCGCAAGGGACAGGGTGCCATGGAGCTCCAGAAATCATACCGCGGCATCCTGCTCAACAACACCATCGGCAAGATGCACAGCACCTTCCTCCGACCCCGTGTGAAGGGCCTGCTACCGGAGCTACTAGAAGCAACCCAATGCGGCGCCCGACCCAAGGTGGCCACGGATTTCATCACTCACACCAGCCTCGCCTTCATCAGCGACTGCCAGAGGAGATCAAGATCATGCAGCATCACCTCCCTGGACCTCAGGGAGGCCTTTCACTCCGTCATCAGGGAATTCTGCATGCAATTGCCGACCACCGCTGATGAGCTCAACGAGCTCATCGAACGGATCGACATTCCCGATTTCACCAGACCAGCTCTAAAGGAACGACTCCAGCAACCCGCCTACAACAACCAACACATCGACGACGAGCACCTCTGCCACATAATCGCAGATCACCACACCTCCAACTGGGTGACAGCCAAGAGCGCAAGGCACTACCAGCTGCCTCGGACCAGCACCCGACCTGGGGTGCCATACTCGGATGCCGCCTTCAACATACACTGCGCCATCATGCTGAGGGCAATCGACCAGGCAGCTTGAAAGGAAGAGGCCCACGGCCAGCAGACAGGCGGACACGAAATAGAGGCACGCAGTAAACCTCTATTTTCACCAACCCCTCACGAAGGAAGCGCGCTCAGAAACATGTCCCTCGTCGACGACCTCACCGACTACAGCTCGACCGCCAAGGCCAACGACCTGATCAACGCGACAGCTCTGGCAGCAGCCAGGCTCTGCACAGCAGCATTCCAGCATGGACTGAAGCCACATCCCGAAAAGACCAAGGCCATCCTCATGCACTACGGCGCGGGGGCCAAGAAGGAGAAACAGCGGATAGCCAAGGAGGGCATCACATACCTAGAACTGGACAGACTTGCCATCAAAGAACAGCTGGTAACGCAACAGAAAGGCCCTCGGCACCGTCTGCCTAAGGGTCAACCGTGCACTTGGTGCAGCTCGGCCTCTAGAGAAGCAGATCCTCCGCCGCAAGAAGCTCTCGAAGAAAGCCAAGGTCAAGTACGCCCACTCTTGTTCGACATCTTCGCTTACCTACAACCACCATGTCTGGAACGACCTGACCCGGAAGGACCTGAGGCACATTTCCGCCAAGTACATGGGCCCATACCGAGTCGCAGCTTCACTGCCCAAGACCAACTCACCCGACCTGCACATCTCCGAGGCCGAGGCGATCGCCAAGACAGGAGTACCCGACTTCATCGCCCACCAGTCGATCGCGCGGCTACGATACTTGCCCAAACTCCTGAGTAATGCTCCAGCAGTCCTACTTCAGCTACTCGACGGCCAGCGCCAACGAAAGGGCACATGGAGCCGCCAGCTCAAGAAAGACTTCGACTTCCGACGCACGTACTTACCAAAAGAGAGGTGGCCCAGCCAAACCCAGCACGACCGCGACATCATCAACTGGGCCCGACAGAAGCCGAAGCGATTCACCAACGCGGTCAAGGCAGCTTCGAAGGCATACATTCTCCACACTCGCGACCAAGCTCAAGGCGCCAAGCTCCAGAAGGACATCTGGATGACCTCAGCAGATCACACAACTGAAGTGACGGACCTCTGCGACGACACGAACAACCAGAAGTACGTCTGCTACGCCTGCGGCCGAGTCGCCTCCAGGCAAGGCATGCTAATCCATATGGGCAGGGACCATCCAGTCCATGAAGACCCGCGCTTCTGGGCGACAGGTACCGCGTGCCGATGCTGCCAGACCGAGCACCACTCTCTTCCGAGGCTCATCAAGCACTTACCGGTGGCTCACCGTTGCCGCAAATCCTGGCACGCCTGGCACACCCAGACGATGGAGCCTCTGACGGAGCAGCAAATAGCAGATACCCTCGCCGCCATCGCCGAGGCCACAAACGCCAACAAGAAGCAAGGACGACACCCAACCTTCAGCGACAAGCCAGCCTACCCGTGCGACGTCACGCCGCTGCCTCTCCTCGAAACGTCGCCCGTCCTACCCAAAGCATTCGCCAGACTCGAGCCATCACCAAGCAGACCACCCGCGAGCTCGCCCGCAGAACCAGCCAAGCGCCAAGAAACCGTCTTCATCACCGACCGCCCTCGACAGGCCGCCGACCTCCAACAGATCATGGCCAGCAATGGGATCACGAGCATCAGCGGACTGGACTACACGCAGATCGTCATCCCCAGCGGTGGCCATACCTCAGAACTTCCGACAGTACTTCGGCGAGCACAACGCAGGATCCCACATGGCGAGGTAGCGGCCATCGACGTAGAGTTCCCACGACGTACCTGGTACCTACACGATGCAACCGACATTCTAGGCAGCAGGGCAAGCAAGCGGCGCACCCCAGCACCCTGGGGAACGCCTCAAGTCTCCGAAACCATCGCCGACGAGATATTCGCCGCCAACAACGTCACACGAGAGGTCTTGCGTATGATCTTCATGGCGACCGCTACCAAAGTACCATTCGTTGCAGCCATCTCTGCCGAGTCGATCACCAGGCAGACCCCAGAATATCGGTACATCGCCAACCTGGCGACCGTCTACGAGACCCCGACGAATCACTACGACCCCGGCACCATACAGATCCTCGACAACGGCGCCCGCGACGACCTCCGCAACACAATGCACACGGCAAACGAAGAGGAGATCGACCTCACCATTGCCGACCTGCTCGACGGCAACATTGTGGCTAGATGGGGCCTCAGAACCGCAACCGTTGCTCCCGCCAGCCCGAACCTGAACACCAACGGCGCCTACTACATAGAACGAGAGGACGAAGTGCCGCCTCATGCCGAAGACGAACGCGACGAAGAGTGTCACCGACGACAAGTTCAAAGGCGCCAGGACGCAAGTCCCGAGGAAGCCCCGAGTGCGTGGGAACACCTCAGGCGGCGTCGCCAAGTTTTGCCAGAGGCGTTAGGACGCAAGTCCTGGGGAAGCCCCGAATGCGAGGGAACACCCCAGGCACAAGTCGCCACGTTTTGTAGTATTGCTGAAGGCAGCGGCAGCTCGTGCAAGAGGTCAGCGGGCACTTGCGAGCCGCAATACACACGCACACACACACACACCCACTCCACTCTTGCCAAGCACCACCGACCAGCTACACCCCACGACCCAAGGTACGACCTACCACACCACGCCACAAGTCAACGCTGCCCTGGTTGGGCAAGGATCAAACTTCGAGACGGGCTCGAAGGGTGGGGGGGCAGGACGAGTACTGCCCGCGCCTACCAGGGGGGATGGTGAGGGGCAGGGGGGGGGGTAGGACGGCCACTACCCGCGCCCCCGCGGTCCGCCCTAGCTCGCCACCTCCACCATCCCCATGGCGAAGGAGGAGCTTACCCGATCGCCGACGCGGCGAAGCTGAAGGCAGCAGAGACATCCCCCACCGACGACAACAGCAAACACCAAGCCTGGGGTTCGCCCCCACCGAGGGCACCGTGACCCCTAGCCATAGCGGGACGAGGTGGGGCCGCCACGAACCCCACTTGAAGTCGGTGCATGGAGGCCTCTCATGTGCGCCCATAACCCATACCACAACCCCAGCAACAATACGCTCTCCCCACGACCCGACCATAGACACTCAAGATGACCATCTACAACCTATGGGACGCGCCACCAACCGATCACCCACCCCGCAACCACCACCCATCCAACCACCAACACCACCTCGATTCCACCAGCCCACTGAAAGGAGGACAGGAGCAGGGTCCTCAGCAGTGCGGCGCGACTCAACCATGACAGTGCCCGCTGAAAGGAGGACAGGAGCAGGGTCCTCAACAGCCAGGCTCGATCAGCATGCCATGGAGACACCGAAAAGGAGGACAGGAGCAGGGTCCCCAGAACCAATCTCCAGAAGGCACGCCCGCAGAAAGGAGGACAGGAGCAGGGTCCTCAGCTGCGAGGTACTACAAAGACAATCAACCCCAGAACCTCCACCTCATCAACAACAACCACCACCTCGACCAGACCAGCCCGCTGAAAGGAGGACAGGAGCAGGGTCCTCAGCAGCGTGCAGTGATGAGCTTACCACAACCATAGCTGAAAGGAGGACAGGAGCAGGGTCTTCAACAGCTCTGAAGATCGATAAAGTGAAGGGTCCGCCCACAAAGAGGACAGGAGCAAGATCCTCAGAAGCGGTTCTCAGCATGCACGACTTCTCAGAGGAGCTCACGCAAAGTGAAGGAGGCGGCGCACCGTGCGCCGCGGCGAGGCCTTCCCCAGCCCTCGGGCCGAAGGGGGGAACGGCCCGCCCCCCGTGTAACATACGGGGGCCGCCAGCTCAGCCGAGCTGCACAGCGGCTAGAGAAGGTCGGGCGCCCCTCAGCTCGCGAGCAAAGGAGGGGCGTCCGTCGCAAAGAAGTTCGAGGAGGACGAGTTCGGGGCCCACCTGAGGCCGTCGGACTGACGGGCTACGCCGCGGCGGCCGCCGCCGCGGCATAGAGCCCTCACTGAAAGGGTTCGCTGAAAGGAGGACTCTCTGACTCTGACTCTGACTCTCTGAGGCTCATGGTCAGCCTACCCACAGATATAATGGCAATCAAGCGCTATGCAAGAGAGACACAATACATCAACAAAAAAAGGTGGGTCCCCTATCCCACCTCGCCACACCTATTCACAGAAGAGAAGAGGCCTCCTGCTGGAAGCGAGCGCCGAACAGCACGTCGAAGCGTGCTTGTTCCCGCCGAGCCTGGATCTGGCGTCTGAGCTCGTCGCTGAGCTCACCGGCGGGGGGGGGGGGGAGGAGGAGGAGGAGGAGGGGGTTGGGGATCCCACGGGACACCAGCCGCCTCACGAGACTGGAGCATGCCTTCCTCCGCCCACGGGTCCTCCTCCTCCACAGGCCAGGGTTCAGGCTCCACAGGAGCCTGCTGAGGTCTCGCCAGTGGGGGAGGGGCAACACCCTCCAGGGGGCGGTCGAAACGGGTGTCCCGGGGCCCCTTCGATCTGAAACCAGCAAAATCGAGAGCTATATCAGCCTGACCTTCCGCGGTGTCTGCAGCATATAAATCAAGAGCCTGAAAGAAGGCACTCAGCTCGTCAGGTAGGTCACTAGAATCTAGATCATCGGGATCACATAAATTGAAAGCCTCTTCCATATATTGGGCAACAGCTCTGGCCATGGCAGCGCATAGGTCCTGAGGGTACCTTTTCTTGGGAGCCGTACGCCATTTTCTTGTGGTCGGGTCAATGCCGAGGAGGGTGGTGTGGGTCTTCTACGGATGTGGGCACCTTCCCCCTTTTCCTTGACTTAAAATGTCCTCCACGAGGGAACTCAACCGAATACACAGAAACGTCGTAGGGGCCTTGCTCACTTGGCCGAAAACACATTGGTCAAATGAGACCGTCCGAGAGGGGGGAGCTGCACTCAGAGCACACGACGTGGCAGACTGCCACGAACTGGGTGCCCTTTCTTCCCAGTGAGCAACCTCAGGGTGCTCTTTCAGTGCACAAGCTCCTACCTCCAGGCAAGTCAGCATCAACTGGTGCTGGCTGAGCAAGAGCTGAGAGCCGATGGAGAGCTGTTGGTGCTGACGGAGACTGACATCAGGTCTGCCCCAACGATGTTTGAGAGTACGGAGGGGAGCAGGTGGACGATAACGGTCTGCAGCTCTGAGCTCCTGCCACCTCGCTGCTGACCATGTCTCGCAGGGAGGAACCGCCAATCAAACCTATGGCCCGACCTGTTCTCAAAAGCTGATCCCATTTTGAAACAATGTCGGCCCTGGTCAAGTCCCCATTCACAGCGTCACAGGCCACATCACACGAAATAATGATGATAGTCACCGGGCCCGAAACTCTCTCAAGCTCGTCCTGAACATCTCCAGCACGTCTAGCTCCTGAGAACAGGTGAAGAAAAGCAAGTACAGCATACTGCAGCGGCCGAGGGCAATGCTCGGCAGAAGGCCAGCATACGCAAGCGGTTCAAACTGATGTTCATCTTCTGGCAGGGCCTCATATCGGGGGTCCATTTCACGAGTCTCATAGAGGGGCTCAGGAACATTTTCAAACTGGTAGGCCATGGAGCGGATAACTTCCCAGGCATCCCGATACGGTAAAAACGAAATCTGCGGAACATTACGAGGCCCAGGAACACGATAAGCAGGAAACCAGGCCCCCCTTCTCATAGCCCCTTTTTTTCCGAGCAGCTTTCCTGTCAGAGGCCTCCTGGGCCCGAACCATCTCCAGAACCTCAGGAGCCTCAGGGACCATATTGGAGAGGACCGTGATGTAGCAATTCGGGTTCCCATACGCAAGGTGGTCAATACAAAGCTCAACCGTGCTGAACCGAACAAGACATACAGAACAAGTAGGGCCGTGAACATATCTGGCAGCGACCGAGCGCTGCTGGTAATGAAGCCGAGCAATATGCATCTTCACCGCAGCACACTTGGCCGACTCGAACTCACAGAAAGGGCAGCGATGCACAGCAGGCACGGTGCCGGCGTCAGAGATAGATCTGGTGGCACACCAATACGCGCTGCATGCTGAAAAAAAAATATCTGCGTGCGAGCTCGTGCGTCCTCATACGGCAAGCCCAACGGATGTGTGCCTCAACCCCAGATCGAACCAGGTTAGCCCAGTGCTGTCCACGCCCAAGAATCTCCTTCTCCCAATCTCCGAACTCCGAGAACGGACTAGGAAATTCACGTAGCCTGGAAACCCGAGTGCGAAGCCACCTCAAATCATCCAAGACAAGGTTGAACCAGGAGTGCTTGGGTTCCGCAGTGGCCCTAATAAGCCCAAAGAGAGCCTAGGAGCATACTTATAGAGCCGACTGAGATAACGGAGACGATGCCATCTTAGCAGAATATCCACATCACATCTCATTACAGTAGCAAGCACGTCCGTATCGGGACAGCCTCCTGATCATATGCTGGCCTCCCAATAGCAGACCGATAAATCCGCACGATACCAGCACGGTACCGATTGAACTGTGGCCGTTGTCGGCTGTGCCATGTTGCAGCATTGTACAGCCGGCCCGACATGATCAGCACATCTGCAAGCTGTAACTTATGCTTCCGAGACAACTGCTGGTTGCGAAAGACCACCTGCCGAAGGGCCTGAAGCGACGACGTCGTAGACGACACACGTAGGCCAGCTCCGGGGCCAGGTCCTGCTTGTCAGAAATCATCCCTCCCAGATGCTTGTACGTGTGGACCGCTTCCAGAGTAAGCCCCTTGGGGAACGTTCCAGTAGGCGGGATAGAAACCTTACCCTCCTCCTCGATCCAGAACTGTTTTCGGGCCGTAACAGACCCAGGGCCTCTGAAGGTGACCATGAGGGCGCTCTTTGTGGGCCCACGTTAAGCTTGAGGCCCAGCGGGGTGAAGGAGTCAGCACATAGCCATAAGCGCACGAGTGCGAGCAATAATAGCACAAGCAGGCCCCCAAGCATTGAACAGGCTGTCGTCGCTGTACTCTACATCGTTAGCCGAAACCTGGGCACCACATTGAGCGAGGGGGTCGAGAGTCCTGGTCGACGGCACGCTGAACTCCTGTGTAGCCCTCACTCTAGATCACTCCTGGGTGCGACGAATGCTCCTGGACACGATGAAGAGGAAGAGTTGCGCAGCTAGAGTATTGCCTGGCCTGGAGCCAGTGGTCATGATCGCGACAGAGCCTGACCCTTGGGTAGTAGCCCAGGTGCCTGTTAACGTCTCAGAAGAGAACACGCTGCAAATGGGCAGGAACCTCCAGATCCTCAAACAACGGTGGCCGTGCAGGTTCGGCAGCCAGCAGGTCCATG